CTTTCTTCGAGTAAACACAGTTATCAAACTGATTACGAGCATAACCATTAGACACCATGAATGAGTCAAATCTCTTGTACCATTGCCTCGGAGACTGCTTCAAGCCATACAAAGATTTCGTTAACAAGCATACCTGGTCCCCTTTAGAACTGTAGAACCCCTCCGGTTGAGACATGTAAATCTGTTCTTCTAGATTACCATGAAGGAATGCTGTTTTTACATCAAGCTGCTCCAGCTCCAGATCAAAAGCACCCACCATTGCCAAAAGAACCCGAATGGTTTTGTGTTTCACCACAGGAGAAAAGACTTCATGGTAATCGATTCCTTCCTTCTGTGAAAACCCTTTTGCCACCAGTCTCGCCTTGAACTTAGCAGGTTCAACACCAGGAATTCCCTCCTTTCTTTTAAAGACCCACTTGCATCCCACTGGCTTCACCCCTTTTGGTAGTGCAACAAGATCCCAACTCTTGTTCTTTTCAAGAGACTGCATCTCTTCATTCATTGCCATAATCCAGGTTTCTGCATCTTTACTCGCCACAGCTTCTTTATATGTCTTTGGCTCATCAGAGCCAAGATCATCACCAACCGCTAGTGCATAAGCAACAGAATCCATGTCATACGTATTGACACATCCTGCAAACCTAGCTGGTTTCTGAATATTTCTCTTTCCCTTTCTTGCTGCTATGGAATCTTCAACCCCAGTACCAGCGTCATCAGCTTCCCCCTCAACCGGTTTCCCTTGAGGTTTTGACTGATCTGGTTGATCGGATTGATCAATAGTATTATTCTGCTGCTCTTCCTCTAACACAACTCTGTCAGGAGTCTCAAACTCCACTCTCTGGTTAGCACCACAATCTTTTGTACCTGCAATACTTTCATAACCTCTACTCTGATCAAGCATAGCAGATTCATCAAAGGTTACATCTCTGCTAATAAGAAATTTACCAGGATTTTTACCTTCTGTACACCACAGTCGATAACCTTTTACTCCTGTTGCATACCCTAGAAATATGCATTTTATCGCCCTCGGCTCCAGCTTACCATCATTCACATGAGCGTATGCAGGGCATCCAAATATTCTTAGATTAGAGTAATCAGAGGGTTTACCGGACCATACCTCCTGAGAAGTCTTTAAGTCAATTGCAGTTGATGGAGATCTATTAACCAGATAGCTAGCAGTGTTTACTGCTTCAGCCCAGAATTGCTTAGACAAGCCAGCAAATATGCGCATACACCTAGCACGCGCCATGAGGGTTTGGTTCATTCGCTCTGCAACTCCATTTTGCTGTGGTGTGTGTCGTACAGTGCGGTGCCTCACTATACCTTCTTTCTTGCAGAAATCATCAAATGGAGCGTTGCAGAACTCCAACCCATTATCAGTTCTTAGAGTCTTGACCTGTTTACCCGTCCGTTTTTCAACAATGGTCTTCCACTCCTTGAACTTCCCAAACACCTCATCTTTAGTTTTCAGAAAGTACAACCAGACTTTTCTCGAATAATCATCTATGAAAGTGACAAAGTAAGAACACCCGCCCTGCGATTCCACCGGAGAGGGACCCCATAGATCTGAATGAACATACTCCAGAATTTCTTTTGAAGTGTGATGACCGGTACTAAACCTCACCCTGCGTTGCTTCCCTTTTACACAAGCCTCACAGAATTGAATTTTACCTATCACATCCCCACCAAATAAACCATGCTTGCTCAACACAGACAACCCTAGCTCACTCATGTGACCTAATCGCCGGTGCCACAAATTTGTCCTATCATCATGTTTATCCAAGGACTAGGATACCGCCGCCGTTCCCATCACTGAACTGCCCTGTAGAAAATAAATTCCATGCTGCAGTTTTCCCTTCATCATTACCAGCGCACCTTTCAGGACTTTCACCCACTCACCTTCACCATAATATTTTAAACCATTCTTGGCTAAGGTGCCAAGAGAAATCAAATTCTTTATGAGTTCAGGAACATACCAACAGTCAAATTTCCTGAGAGTATCGTCATGCAATTTTATCTGCACTACCCCGCTCCCTTTTATGGCTAGAACCCCATCATCACCTAACTTTACCGTTCCATTCCACTCCTTAAAAGAAGTGAGTAGATCACGAGAGAACGTCATATGGTGAGAAGCACCGGTATCCATAATCCAGGAATCAGTAGTACTAGCACTACACGCTGTCAGAACTTCACCGAAGTCCCCATCATCAGAACTGTCTTGTACCACAGCAGCACTGCTGCCACTGTTACTAGAATCAACTTTTGTATTTCCCTTCTTTTGTGGACAATCCCTTTTAACGTGCCCTTTCTCCTTGCAAAGATAACACTTAACTTTGCTAGAAGATTTTGATTTTGAACGCGACCTCCCATTCTCGTTACCCCTCTCCTGTGGTCTTCCCCTACCTGCAAACAGACATGAACCAGAACCCTTTTCCAGAGAAACCTTTCTTTTCAATTCTTTGGACATAAGGGCATCTTTCACATCATTAACAGAAATTGTAGTTCTACCATATAGCATAGTATCTACAAAATTCTCATATTAACCAGGTAGTGAACACAGTAAAATTAGGGCTTGATCTTGATCATCTACTTTAACCTCAACTCCTTGAAGATCAAGAATGATACGGTTAAAGGTATCAAGATGATCCTTTACCTGAGTACTTTCGGACATCCGGAGGGTGTAAAGACGTTGCTTCTGATATAGCCTGTTCGTGAGAGAGTTGTTTTGGTACTTCTCACACAGTTTATTCCACAACCCAAAAGCCGTTGTCTGATCTACAACCTCCCGTAACACCTCATCAGTAACTGACAGCAAGATCGCAGAATGAGCCCTTGCCAAAATCTCCTTATTTACCTCCTCATTCGTGTCTTTAGGAAACTTGTCTTCTCCCTCCAACGCAGCCGCACATCCTTGTTGAACCAGAAGTGCCCTCATCTTGACCTTCCAGAGCGTGAAGTCATTCGACCCATTAAACTTCTCCAGATCAAACTTATACGAGGACATCTTCAATCAATGGGATATGGCTCTGATATCACTTGTTATGAGAAAACGAGAAAGAAAGCAAATAAAGAACACAGAGGTTTTACGTGGTTCGGTGACGGTGTGTCAACCTACGTCCACGGGCAGGAACTGGAGAGATTTTATTATACTGATTCAGAGATTTACAATGTGTCATCCGACTAAGAACCATAGTTGTCTATTTATAAGCACCCCAAAACACCCTAAACCGTAAGCCTATTTGTTATCAATTAGGATAAGCCCAAAAGGAACCCTGCCAATTGAAACAGCCCTTTTGCTTTGGTTTAGGGTCAGATAGACCGCTAAATCCAAGTCACGTTTCAACAGAGAGGTATCAGAGGGTAGAGCCACTAGCGGAGCGGTTGAAAGAATAATTCATGGGCCATAGGCGGTGGTCTATTGGGTCACAGAAATTTCTAGTGACAGTAGAGTTTCTTACTTATAATGTTCTTCGCTGGGTGTCGCTGAAGCCTCGTTGTAAATCCCCTAAGGTCAAGTACCAACCGAGTCGAGAATCGGCTTAAGCGAGCAAATGCGATCACGTTCATTCCTCCGAACCGCCCCGCAAGTATACATATATTTTTCGCTATCACGCCATCGCCATCCCGCTCATTCCATCCATAGAAATCTAGCCATTAAGGAACGCAAAAGTCAGACACAAACGTCTCGCTTCATCCTTTTCGAGATACGTATATTTTATCGTTTTTTAGTTAGATTTAATTTCTGCAATTTATCTTTTCAGTTTCTTCGATTGTATTAACTCATTGCACTTTTTCTAATTAAATATAGGATATTCATATATTCCCTGAGTTCGACTCGGACACTCACCGGTTAAAGAGATTTTTTTATTTTTAACGAAGTTTTTGGTGTTACTACACAAACATGCACGACACTATTTTCATTTTATACATATATCTTTATTTTGTATCTTAAAAGATATTTTTAAATCTCCAAAAATCTTTGATCAATATTCATATTGGTAATTCAAACCAATAAAAAATTGAATAAATAAATATTGTTCTATTCTTGCTTGGAGTTTATGATATGTACCACATGAACACTCAATTGGTGGCTCAATGTTGAGCAGCTATGCCCAAATTTCTTGAAACTTTGTTGCGTAGGTAGAGATTGTGTCACTCCCTTGCTTTAAGGGAGTGGGGGAACGCTTGAGTTGGTAGGTAAGGATCCATTAGATTGACCCAATTTTCTCTTAAGCTATATCCTTGGTAGTAGGAAAAAATATGAACACACCTTGCAGAACTATAGAGATGGAGTTGATGATCCAAGTTCTTATTAATGCATCTACCTCTATCCATGAATCCAATTATCGTGCATTTTTTGCAGGTCTGGACGTTTTTCCTATGAGGAAGCCATGTTTTTCTTTGGCAAGCAACGAGTTCCACACACGATGACTCTATGTGAAGAAATTGCAGAGCCTTTGGCAAGGTAAGAGGTTGAGAAATAATAGCTCTGATTGCACGAACAAGCGCAAGAACAAATAGAAGCAGAGAATAAGATGCAATGAGAAATTGCAGAGAAAAAACTGGTATATTTCTGTATTAATCATTTTATATGTATACACAATTATATATATATATATATATATACAGCATGGAATCCAGATACTTATGAGAAATTAACTGTCTAACAAAGTAACTGTCTTATAACTGACTGCATACACAATTTTCATGTTGCTCTTTGTTTTTGTACTTATTTTCTTTGACATACTCTTTTTTTTCTTTGTCATCACAAAGAGCAATAGACTTGATCAATTATATCAAATGTAATAGATTGAATGAATATCATTCATTGTATTAACAACAACGTACCTTGATATTAGGTACGCTATAATCATACAATTTTATACAACAATATAAGTATTTTATTTATTAATTGACCCGTAATGATAGTAACATAAATATTAAACTCCCACCCAACAAACTCTTTAAATCTCACTTCAGACATACATACTTGTCTAATTTGATTCGATCGACACGACTAATTGGTGAATTCCATACATGTATATATATCCATGGCAGACTGCCTTAAGCCTTCCGGAAGCGAGAGACGCGGCAGTCCGTCTTGAAAATCCCGGACGTCCGGAACTTGTGGGCCCCGCCCATCACCGGCATGGCGGCGCTGACGTTAACCCTGCTGACGTAGCCAGTCCTGTAAGTCTGGCCCAGCACCCCCTCCACCGCATCGCTCAAATTGTAAAATTTAAACCCTAGCTCCAAGTGCGCCAAGCAATCATCCGCCACGCCGTAGCCGTGCGCTCTCGATTCCTCCGCCGTCACGGGGACCGCCGCCGCCGCGATCTCGACGGCCCCGGCCACTTGGACGAGCGCGGCGTTGGTGGTGCGGGAGACGATGGTGATTAGGGCGGTGGAGTTGTCGGCGGGGGTGCCGTCGAGGGTGATGGCGATGCGGTCGAGGGCGTCGTCCCATGCGGTGGGGGTCCTTTGGGCGGCGATGAGGAGGGTGTGGTTGCGGAACATGACGCCGATGGATTGGACCCAAGTGAAGTCCCGGGTGAGACGGGGGCTTCTTTTGCCAATGAAATGGGCGTTGATGTGGAGATGGGCATCGGAGACTAGGCAGAAGTGGTGGCCCTTGCGGCCGTGGAAGTAGAAGCTCACCCCGTCGCCGCCGATGAATCGAGGGTCTTGGCACACCGCACCCGGAATGTCGCATCCTGCGTCGTTACGTTAAATGTAAACCTAAGTACAAACTAATATGTATTCTGATTTTTGTGACCATGAGGTCCTTTGTTTTAAAAATAAACTTTATCACTCTATTCGATACACATATAATATATAACATATATACATACACATGTGTATGTATAGTATGTACGAAGAATAGAGGGATAAGATGTGTTAATGGGACAGATGATCCGGTCTATTCTATTTGATATTTTGAGTTAAATTCAATTTAAATCTATACATTTTTAATAAAAATAAAACATCATGTTATGATAAATGATAATCGTTTATCATAATATTATTTCGTTTAAAGAAGTTTCAGTTTTCATCAATTATATATTTTTTAATTCAAGAACAAAGTTATGCCCTTTATCGAATTTTTATTAGGAAAAACAAAAATTAACTATGGAATATTTGTTTAGTTGTAGATTTGGGAATTGGATTTGATATGAAAATTATAAATCTTTAAATAAAAATAATTATTTGATTTAATATAAATAAATATTAATTTGATATTTTAAATATAAAATTATTGTCTTATAAAGATATGATGTGTGTTTCTTTACCCCAAATTTTAAATTTTTACTGTGTTATGTGTTTTTCAAAATATATATGTTTTTTTCTTACAAAATATTTCATCATATATTATTTTAATATCAAATTTAAACTTTTTTTTTTTTAAATTCCATCAAAAGAAACACTCTTTTTTATTTGATTTTTTAAAGAAAAAAAAATATTTTATGAATATTAGAATTCAATATCAAAATATACAAACAACGTTCACTATTTCTATAAAAAATACATCAAATTCTTCATATAAAATATTAAAGAGTATTACAAATAAAAGTACACATATATACAAACACCAAATGAACAAATTAAACCTAAGGGTTTGTTTACTTACTTTGGTTTGAACAATGTTTTTTATCTCACCTTTTCTGATATGAAATAATATATATTTTTTTAAAAATTGTGAAAAATTGCATAGCAAAAAATAAAAACCAGACTTCAACTAAGTAAATCGAGACAAAATATTTTGATTATCATAATAATATTCTTTCTGAGAATATAAAAATAACAAAAATAGAAATTCGTAACAATATAAAAATCTCACGACAAACAGCCCTGCAAAGACGACAATCCACAAAGCAAGCTTGTGGACACTCGGCCGGGCATGCGTAGTAACCCCGGCACCGTCTTGAAGAACCGTGATTACTATCCCCCCGTTCTTCGCACCTCACGAGCCTCCGGCGCAAGTGGTTACTACCATTTGTTCTAACCAAGAGGCACGCCAACACCAAAAACAATGTCCACACGACTTTTCTCCCACAATAAAACATTATTATTGTTCTCAAAATATATCTCAATCGACAACTCTACTCTACGATACGATGAACTTAGTGATATATTAAGTTTCTCAATAGTATGTATGTATATATATAGAGAGATAAAAATTATTTCGACCCATATATATATATATATATAGTCGAGACATGCATGAAGTTCATGTGAATACCTAAGTGTTATTACATAGAGATTGATTGGGAAGTAATAGAAAAGGAAGTGTGTTGTTTAATTTTATGCATTAAAGCGTGAGAATGCATTGTTGTTTCATACTTTTAGCCCTCTTTAGGGGAACTACCACGAAATCTTTGTTTTTGTTAATTTTCGATGTTCTTATTTTTATTTATTCATTAAAGTTTAAAGAATTTAGTTCGGAACATGTCCGTTTTGTTTTCGGTATTTTAGCGGTGAAAATAATTATTTGATGTGATATTATGAATAGAAAATTATATACTTCCTCCGTCCCTTAACAATCTATTTATTTTTTCATTTTAGTCCGTCACATAACAAAGTATCAATTTCCTTTTTTAGTAATTGTACTATATTATTAACGTTACAAATATTATTCCAATTTACAATATATTATACAAATGTCATTACCCTTATATCATACAATAAGGTTAGTTTAGTCTTTTTACTTTTATTTATACTATATCCCAATATAATACTAATATTTCTAAAATTCCGTACAAAAAAAATTGATAGATAGATATAGAACAGAGGGAGTATTTGATTTAATAATTTTAAACATAATATGGTAAATTAAAAGTTAAAAGATGTGTTAAAAAAATAATAATTGAACAAACCTTTATAAAGTTTTTAAAAAATTAGTTTAAATCTTATTTTTATGATATTTAAAATTCACTTATAAATACTAGGTGTGTTTGTTTGATAATTTTTTCTTTAAATTTAAATAGTCGACTGAACCGTAGTTGTTTATAAATAATAATAATAATAATAATAATAACAATAATAATAATAATAATAATAATAATAATAATAATAATAATGATATATTTTTATAGGAAACATTAAATATTGTATAATAAAAAGGTAAAAAAATATATACATGATAAATAGAGCTTTAACTAATTATTTATAAATAATAATAATAATCCTTGAAATTTTAGGTATATGTTTTAGAATGTTTTTAGTATATATTTTTATTTATTTTAACTTATAGTTTTAATGGTAAATAAAGTTTTGGGGTTGATATTTTCAAATTTAAGGGTTTGTTTGTTTGAGGATATTTTCAAATTTTTTAGATTGTGTTTGTTTAAGAGTTTGTATTTTTTAATAGTAGAATTTGAAGGTTGAATAATTTTGATGTGATATAAATATATATTGATGGAATATTTTGAATGTATAATTGAATTTGTTTATTTTTTATTAGAAATAAAAAGTTCTATTATTCAATAACATGGTTCCCAATAAAAATATAATATATCATCTTATAAAATATTACATTAAAATGCTATGTAAGCTAAAATTTAAATCAAAGCAACTTTCAAATTAAAACAAACAAACCCTTGATTTTTAAATTTATATATAAAATAAAAATAATAAATATTTGATTAGGCTTCGTTCTTTTATCATTTTAAATTTAAATTAATATATTTCATTCGACATAATTTTTAATAAAAATATATTATTTTTTCTCATAAAATATCAAATAAAAATATTATTTTAACAAAAATTTAAATCAAAATTTCATCCCAAATCATCTTTAAACAACAACCAAATAAATATTAATTGATGAAAAAAATAGTAAAAAATTATGAAAAGTTAACAAAAAAAAAAAAACACACACACAACCTAAATATATTTTATATGAAAAACTACAATCCTGAGTGCCTTGTGTAAGTTTTAAAAATAATAATATAACTTAAATAATTTGCTATAATAAAAAAATATATCTTGTAGGAAAATATATAAATATTTTTTAGATCAATCAATTATTAATATAAAATTTATTATATGATGATTTTGTGTTGATCCAATTAGTTAAACTAATAGTATTTCAGGCTAGTTTATTGATTTGATCAAATTAACTCCCTAACTATTACTATAAATATATAAGCACAATCTATTAAAAGTTGAAGTGTAATCATGTAGTAATGATCTACTATTTCTCTATCATTACATTTAAAAATTATGTTAATATGCTAAAATATATGGATATGAATTGTATATATTTACATGTGTAAAATATAAACTATATTATATATGTGTCAATCTAATCTTTTATTGTCAAATTTAAATTATATCTATTAAAAGTTATATATATTCAATACAATACTGACAACACATCGTACTATAACAAACATCACATAATGTTACTACAGACAACATATTCTTTATATTAACATAATGCAAATATATCATATTAAGTAACAACACATGATATAATTTTACACAATACATGTTGATACTGATTTTTAGCACATAACATACTTATGTACAACATTCTTACAAGTATAAACATAAAATACATGATTTTATTTTACACAACATGTACTCTATGTCTATTTTATCTATAGTATATGACTGTTTTACGTCTGATAATTGAAAAAATTAGTATAATATTGATTTCTCGAGACCAGACTATTTCTAATATATTATCTTAAACTTAGGGTGTGTTTGTTTGGGAGATTAGATTTGAATACACCATTCATCCCATTTTTTCTCCCAAAAAACATCGAACCAAACACCTATTTTTTATTTTTTTATATTATACTAAAAATCAATTTTACATTCAAAACATCACATCAACACCTATTTATGTCATATCATACAACTATTCAAATTCAAAATTTTTACTATTCAAATCTTAACTCAAAATCCAAACCCCCAAACTTACTTTAACAAAATTATTACAATGCATGCATACCATCTTTGTAAAGTGCACCAATTATTTTATATTTTTCTTTGGTGCAGGTAAGATACATGATTTTATTTAATTATTTTATATTTTACCATAAATTTATAAACATATAAAGTTTAAATATAATTACTTGCCTTTCGTTCTTTTATATTTTCTTTTAGTATTTGTATTTATATTTTTAATTCAAATTGTTTGGATGTAAATTTTTGTATGAAAAATATATATTTATATAAAATTATATAGTAAAAAAATTAATTTTTTTTAAAAAAAATAAAATTACTCTAAGTCAATAGAGAAAACAAAACAATAATCAAGTTAATTCGCAATTTTTTAAAGATTATCGTACAATATATAATGATCTTTTTAAATATTACTATAATATTTAATTACTACTACTTTATATTAAAAACATTTGAATATAAAAAAATAAAAAAAATCATTATATATTGTATAATAAAAAATAAAAAAAATCTTCTTTTTAGGTTTGTTTTGTGTTTTTATTCAATTTTTTGTTTGGATTTCTTTCCTCTCGATTTTCACAATACATATTCCTAACATATTAGTGAAATAAATGTAACTTCCATCAACATGCAATGGTATGTTAATTTGATAGGACTCAAATTTAAATATAAAATGAGTAATAATAATTATTTTTTTCTTTTATAATAAAAAAAAACAAAAAATATAATAATTTTTATTCAATTTATAATATAAAAATTTATTATGTCAATCGATTAAACATAAACTAGAAAAATAGAATAAATGAATTAATACAAAATAGTAAATATAATTATGTAAATGACTCATTAAAATAGCGTATAATATATATATTTTGTTGATATAATTCAAATTATATTCATATTATGCAGTATTATACTTTTCAAAATTACCATTTCATATATATATATATATATTTTAAATCATGACATAAATAAAATTTGATGATATAAAATAGTGATATATAAAAAAATCCTAGATGTATACTAGAATATTTGTAAAAATCTATTTTAATTAAAAATATGAAAATTTGAAAAAAAAGATAAATTAATTGATGGGACTCATACCAATATAGTATATGTGAATAATAATTGAATAATATTGTAAAAATTGATACATATAGTTCTTTTCTTTTAAATACCAACTAAAATAAATATGTGTGTTGGAAGATATCAATAGCATCTTAAAAAATATCATCCTTGGATGATCAGAATAATTGTTTCACCTAAAAGTCTAAACAGTTAAAAAAATATATTATTAATTTATTTATCGATAAACGAGAGTCTCCAACACGTTCCATGAATAATCGCCGTTAGAAAAATGCATAATTAATTAGATGAAATAACAGTGAAATATGATATTTTTTTTATATAAAATTAATACTTTATTTGTTCATTAAATTTACTGTCATTTTTTTTTGTCCATCTTTCAACATTCAAACTATTATGTTTTATTCATTACTTATTTATTACAAACTTTACTATTTTAATTACCTATCTCATCATCATCATTAGTTACTAATTAAATTTTTAAAATTATCACGTTACCTTATTATTTTTTCAATAAAATAATTATTTTCTTAATTTTCAGGTCGAATCCAAATGAACTATTTATTACGGGACGAGGTGAGTATATTTTAGTTGTAAACGATAAAATTATAATCCATTTGTCACAACTTAGTGTATTTTTTTACCATTTTCGCTCGTCCCACGAAAAAAATATTTATTTTAATTATAGTAAATATAATTATATATAAATATAAAAATACTCTTAACTTTTAAAAAAAGTTATTTATCTTTTTACTTTTAAGGACAAAAATATAAAAAATATCTTATATACTTCCATTAATAAATAAAAATATTATGATTTTTTGTTTTGTAAAAAATGGTCCGGTGATGGTGAGATTGAATTCGTGACTCTGAGATCATATGTTCAAATTCTGACATCTCGTGACTTGCCTTGTATTATATTATTAAAAACAATGATATATAAAAAAGAATAAAGCCCAATAGGTCCCACTTACTACCCTCGAGATGAAACATATCTGTTGGTTGTAGATTGTTCACAAATTTTTATTATTTATTAATTTTGAATAATAACAAATTAAAATACTTA